TACTGTGTGCCAAGCACAGCTAGGTAGAGCTGAAAACTGGCATTCTAGTGGAGAGAACAGAAAACAAACCTCAGGCTGGCCACCGCCCCCTTGCCTCCCGTCCTGCCTCCTGCTGTGGTTCCCTCCACCTCCTGGATGCCGCCTCCGGGAGCCCCTCTCGGCCCTCCCACACCTCCACCCCCAGGAGTGGTCACTCTGCTCCGCTCCAGACTTTTCTCCTTTGCTCCTTTGTTCACTGCTGAGTCTCCCAACACCTAGGACGGTGCACAGTAGGTGTTCATTGAAGGAAGGAAGTAATGTATTGTTTTTTTTTTTTTCTTTTGCAAGGAAAATTTTGCATTTCAATGAATCAGTTCTGGTTATTCAGTGCATCATCTCTATACAACACACCCTTCCGGGTTAATGTGATTCATAGCATTGTCTTTGAACTCTCAGCTCTGTAAATTGTAAGCAATTGGTAGCACTATAAAACCACTCTTATCTGTAGACGTGCAAATCCCATCCGGTCCGGGAGAGGTTTCTTTGACAACCCTCCTCCCCTGTGGAAAATAACAGTTTGCCCCCATCTGCACGTGGATTTGGGTAAATAGTCTGATATGTAAAAGTGCCTGTTCTCCAGACTCTCTTTTGAACCGCGTAGAACATCTGCCTGCTTCCCACATGCGCTCAATAAACGTTTTAACACGGGTCCGTCTTTATATGTCCGTGAGGCTCATGATTTCTTCCTCTTTGGGAAATTCTCGTTTAACCTTTATCTGGAATCTTGGAAGGGCAAGGACTGGGGGAAGGTGGGCTCCAAGGGCCCTCTGGTGCCTCCCTCGGCCACCAGGAGGCACCTCGAATCCAGGCCAGCGCCACTGAGGCTGGCGGCGCCCCGGCGGGCCAGGGACTCCCGTGAACCTGCTCCCTTTGTCCCTCTGACGCCAGCCCTTGTGAGGAGGACCCCAGGGGCGAGGAAAAGGCATTCAGGCGCAACAGGTATGAGGTCTGGAATGTCAACCCACTTGTTCCCCTTTCCCCCAACCCCCGCAGCCTCCCCAAACCGCCTCTGCCAGCGGCGTGGCTTTTCCTTCTCTGCTCTTCCCTCCACCTGCCCACGAAATCCCCCCCATTGGTGCTGAAACCAAGAGCCCCAGACTTTGGGAAATACCTCCACCTTGAGTTCAGGGTCAGTTTCTGCCACTTCCTGGCTGTGTGACCTTGAGCAAGTCCTGTCACTTCACTGAGCCTCAGTTTCCCCATCTGCTAAATGGGGATCTTAACACCCCTCCCTCAGGAGAATTCTGGAGCCTGAGGGCTGTGAGAGTTGCCTTTGTCCAAAGATTGGAGCCTGAGACTAGCCACTCAGCCGGTCCTCTCTTGCCCGCCACCCTGGCCCTCTCTCCAGGGCCAGAGCAGTCACTAAGTGTGGCTTTTCAGATACAATTATTCCTTCCCAAGCCTCTCCTGTCTTGCTTCCATCATCCCCCTCCGCCTGAATGCCCGTTTTTCCTGGCGGGGCCCTGACATTCAGCCCGTGAACCTGTGTTCCAAAAGGGAAGAAAAGAAATGTAAGAAGTAAATCTTGCCAGTTGGACAGGCCAGAGGGGCTGCACCAGAACCAGGAAGTGAAACTGCTCCGCCTGGTTTCCTGCCTGAGTCAACAAGGGCATGGGTTTGTGCAGGGGGCTGGCAGAAGGGAGGGACCCTGGAAAAATTGGGGTGGGGTGGCCACAGAGCTGGGGGCCCTTATCCCCCTTCGTCTGAGCCGCCGGGGCCACCCTATTTCCCACGGGTCTCAAATACATGTGGGTTTGGGGTCAGGAGCCGTGGATGCCTAGACAATGAGCTCACAGCGGCCTGGCGGGATAAACGTGGCTTCCATTTCTCTGAAGCCCAAGTTCGCCGGCTGCATGGAGAAGGGAGGACATGTGAATGTCTGGAACCTGGCTCCCAACCTCTCCTAAAAGCATTGCTGGGAGGAGAGCCGGCCAAGAGATTCCCAGGGGCCTTTCGGACCTCATATATTCTCCTGGGATCACTGCGTGGCCTGGGGTAACTTTCTGACCTTCTCTGGGTCTCATTCCTCTGCAAAATCAGGGAAATGGAATAGAATGTTGGTGTTTTCCCAGACTCTGTGCATTTGATCCCCAGCAATGTGACAGAACCACCCGCAGGGCTTGAAGGCTGAAGGCGGGGCCCTATCCTTTCCCTGCTGGGGACCTTGAGCAAGTTCACCTGGCCTTTCTGTGCCTGATGGGGATGGTGACAGTATTAATATCTAATGTCAGAGAATAAAATAACATCCTCACTCTGTGATACCCTAGTCTCCATTCGTCCTATGGTTAACCCACTAGAGCAGCCTGGGGTGACTTCCCTGATTCAACGTCTCAGGACACCCACTGAAGCATCCTCAGGGACCGGGACCTGGGCTTAGCTGACACAGCCACGTTCCAGTTGCTGAAGAGGATCACGGGTAAGGGTGGCTCTGGGGGTCCTGTTGGCAAGGGGAGCACCTGAAACGTGGGCTTCACTGAAGTCCCTCCTCATCCTCCCCACGTCTCCCCACAGTCCAGTTATCCTTCCCCATCGGTCCGTCTTTGCCTCGACTTTTCTGGCAATAAGTCTAGGGCATCCCAGACTGGGTAACTTCGGGCAAGCACTTCCCGCTCCAAGCCTCGGTTTCCTCATCTGAGAAATGGAGGCAACGAGCCCCACTTTGCAGCACTGTTGGAAGGCTTAGACGCGATTATATGCTAGGGGCACCGGGGTGACTCAGTCGGTTAAGCATCCAACTCTTGACTTCGGCTCAGGTCATGATCTCACAGTTAGGGAGTTCGAGCCCCGCCTCAGACTCCATGCTGACCGTGGGGAGCCTGCCTGGGATTCTCTCTCTCTGCCCCTCCCCAGCTTGTGCTTTCTCTGTCTCTCTCTCAAAGTAAATAAACTTAACAAAAAAAAAGTGATAATGTGCCAGAACAGCAAGAGCACATTATTATCCACGTTGTTCCTGCTGCTGCTATCATGACAGGTTGTGGTGTCTCAAGACCACTGCTGTCCAATAGAAGTTAACCATGCATGTCGCCTGTGTAACTTTAAGTGTCCTGATACCAAATAAAATATAAAAAAATAAAAGGAAGCAGGTGGAATTAATTTGAATCATGTATTTTATTTAACCCAAACTTACCTAAAATATTACCATTTCAACACATCAGTATAAATCATTCTTGGGGCGCCTGGGTGGCTCAGCTGGCTGCTGTCCGACCCCTCGGCCCAGGTCACCATCTCGTGTCCCGAGTTCGAGTTTCGTCAGGCTCCCGGGCCGAGCTCAGAGCCTGGAGCCTGTCGATTCTGTGTTCCCTTCCTTCTTCTTCTCTTCTGCCCCTCCTCCATGTTTGGTCTCTCTGTCTCAAAAATAAATAAACGTTGAAATTGTCAGGGTTAACAAACGTTAAAAAAAATTTTAAATAACAATTTAAGAAATATTTCGCCTGCTTCCTAAGTCCTTAAATCAACTTTTTTTTTAACGTTTATTTATTTTAAGAGAGGGAAAGAAGGGGATAGAGCATGACAGGGGGAGGCACAGAATCTGGAAGCAGGGACAGCTCAGAGCCAGACGTGGGGCTCGGAACTCACAAGCTGTGAGATCACGCTTAACCGACTGGAAGCACCCAGGTGGCCTCCTACTAAGTCCTTGAAATCCATCTTGTTACATTACAGCACACCACCCTGCCCGGCCCCATTTCTGCGGCTCAAAGGTCACTTGTGGCCAGTGGTGACCTCTACTGGACAGCAATAGGTCGGAGGGAGTTTACTGAATGGTGGGGTTGGGCACTGGCCAGAAAGTGCAGCTGGAAATTCCCACGAAGGAAAGACAAGGCTTCCATATGGGTGGGGAGACTGGGGACAGCAATCGGGCCACACAGCTTCGGTGTTTCATGGTAGACATCGCCGGAACGGGAACAGAGTTTGAGTTGGCTCAGTCGGTAGGTTGCTGACCGCTGCATGTCGGTTGCTGTTCGGGTGTTGCGGTGTAGCAGTGCACCAATTACACAAACGACGATCACACCCCGGGGGGGGTCTCGGTGATGAGAAAAGAGCCAGAAATCAAACAGCTGCTAAAACACATGCAGAAATGTAATGATAATGGCGAAAAAGCGCCGAAGGGGAACGTCGGGTTTTCTGGTGACAGGGGGAAAGGGAAGGATGGTGGCGTGGGCCGGGCAAGGGGCCGGCGATCAAGACCAAGGGCGGTCAAGGAGAGAGAGATCGGTGTCCAGGACAAAATGAAAAAACAATTAGAGGTGATCGGATTCGACAAGTATTAGTTACCCATTGAAATCACCGCCATTTTAGTCGGTCCGTCCCCGTCGAAAATCAGCAACTGCCTATGACTCAAACGTAATGTTCAGGCATAGAATGATTAGTTCCTCTCTTAGGGCTTGAGTTGAGCTCTATTTCTAGAGAGGTCTGCAGCCCCCATGAGCTCTGGCATACAAGGACATCAGATCCTCCCCCGCCCCCGCCCGCCCCGCCATGCCCCAGAACATCAAAACTTTCTGACTCCGCGCCCAGAGACGCTGGAGAGTTTCTCGCATCACACAGCCCAGAGGGAGGAGGGGCCGAGCTGCTGCCCCTGGGAATCCTGCCGCTCAATCTCGCTCCCGGCCGAGCCTGTTGATTGTCCCCTTGCGGAGCCCGGAAGCGACCCCTCAGTAAACAAAGCTGCCGCGTGTAAAAGCAGCCCCAGCTGCTCCCGGGGCGCGCTGTCCGGAGGGGGCGGGAGAGGAATGTTGTGGGACGAACCCAGGACCCGCCCCGAAACTGCGTACGGGCCTGCGCCGCGGGGTCCTCCTCCTACTGTGATTGGCCGCAGGTGCCCCATGATTGACAAAGCGCAGCCCGATGAGTTTGGATTGCTTCCAAAAGACAGCACATAACGAGTGAACAGCGAGAATTTAGGGGACGAGTCTGAGGTGCAGCCAATGGTGGAGGAGGCCCGGAGGCCGAGGTGGGCCACGATGGGCGGCGGGCGGGACGACGGCGGAGGCGAGCAAAGCGGCGACGAGGCAGCTTCATTGTTGTGAAGAGTCTTAAAGGCGGGGAAGCCGCATCAACGTCGGCTCCGGGCGGGTGGTGCGGCTGGGGTCCCGCGGCGAGCGCGGAAGACGAACTGGAAGGCGGTAGGGGCGCGGATCCGGCGAAGTAAAAGCGGGCATCGGACCGGACTTCTCAATAAAATTTCGCCCCGGCCCCGGTCCGGCTGATGGACCCCCTGCGGCCAAGCGGAGCGGGGGCCACACCTCTGTGGGACTCGAGGAGTGCGATGCTGGCCGGGGCCGGGGCCGGGGCTGTGCGCGGCTGGCCGGCCCGAGGCGCTGTTGGACCAGCAAGCGAGTAGCTGAGAGCTGGGCCTTCGAGCAGGTGACGGGGCTGGGTGAGGGGGAAGGGTCGCACTTCAGCCTCCCCTTCTCCGACTTGCCTTCCTCCTTGCCACCTCCCCCCAGTCTCGGACTCCACATGAGACACTCAGAGAGAGATCCTCCTTCGATCCTTAAGTCCGCCAGAAACACCTCATCCTCCCATTTCACTTCTTTCAAGCCCGTGACCCGCCCCCCCATTCCTTGCCATCTCCTGCTCTCCAGCCCACGAGAACAGAGATGCCCTCCGCGCCCTAGATCCCAGCCTGTGACACTTTTTCCTTTTCTCCTCCTGCTTCCTTGTGGTCTCTTTCTTTCCTAATTTCATTCAGTACTCACTTATTCAATTCAATTTTCTTTTTCTAACTCCTGTAAGTCACTTTACTTTGACACACCACACCAGATTGCCCCCCACTCCCCTCTAGTAGAACCTCTCTATTTCTACAGATCTCTCAAGATATTCCTTTTCTGTCTCTGGATCCACTTCCAGAACTCACTTGCCTCCTGGGGAACCCCCCTCCTCCTCCAGCTCCTTCCCTGGGGTCCTGCCCCCCTCCCTTCTGAGATCACTTCCCACTGGGCTGCCTGGCTCCAGGGTGAGGGTACTTCTCCTACACTTATTTCCCAGTGTGTGTTTCACTTCTCTCTTCCCTTTCAAGTTCTCTCTCGCTTCTACTTCCCCACTCCTCCCAGTTATCCTAGTTCTGTAGGGATTAGTAGTAGGCGAGGTTTCACATGGCACACTCTGAGACAGGTGCACTGGAACCCTACCTCTGTAGTTTCTGAGGGCTCTGCCACGATGCCCCAGGGCTGGTGAGGTTAGAGTGCCCTTTCCAGCCCTGTGAGGGCCTCTGGGAGAGAAAGATGGTCTGCAATCTGACCAAGCCTTCTGCAGCCCCCATAGGTTCTGTCCTCTGTCTGGCTTTGAGGGGTGTTCTTTGCTCCCTGGCCTTTCCGGAGTTAGGAAGTCTGCAGGACTGATGAGTCTGGGCCGCCAAGTGGGGATGGGGCAGGCTCTGATTCACGGCCTGGAAAAATCCCTCCTTAGTCATCTGCCAAACCACCCCCAAGGCCTCAGCCAGTCACTGGCCCACCCACTTCCCCCAGAAACCCAGGACTGGGGGCTCTGGGAGGTTGCCACCCCTCACAATCCTAAACCATCTCTGGGTCTCCCACGTACCTTGCCCTGGTCAGGCCTGGTGCTAGGAAAACTCTCGCTCATGGAGTCCTCTGCAGCCCTCTGGGACTTGTCGTTCGCCCTCCCACTTTGAGGAAACTGGAGCACAGAGAGGTTGAGAAACGTGCCCAAGGTCACAAAGCCCGTGAGTTAGCAAGCCCGGATTGGATCGCAGGCTCAGTCGGCTTGGTTCACTGCCCAGAGCCCACGGGGTGACGAGGACACCCCTCCCTTCCTGTGGGCCGTTGGAAACTGAGAACAGAGCCTGTCTTGGTAGCTGGAGCTTGCCAGCTGGGAGACTGAACAAGTGAATTCACCCCACTTCTGAGCCTCAGAGTCTCCAGGCTGCAAAATGGGACGATAACTAGTATCACTGAGATGTTGCTATGGAAACTATGGGAAATCACATACATAAAGCATTTAGCACAGTGTAGGCTGAGAAAATGGAGACCTGATCACTATTCTTATCACTTTTGTCTCCCTTCCTCTTGCCCCTTCGAAGCCTTGGAGGTGGGTCTATGTTACAGCAGGACCCCCGGAAATGGTATCCAGGAGGGAGGTCGCAGAAAGTTCTGGAACACTAAGTACAGGCCAGGAGTTATTGTAAACGTATTTACATATGTAAATGAATATTTAATCCTCGTGATACTCAGGAGGGCAGTGCTGTTAACATCCCCACATCACATTTGAAAAAACAAGCACAGAGAGGCAAAGTGACTTGCCCAAAGTCATACTCCCGAGCGGCAAAAGCCAGGGTTCGAGCCGGGGTTTCTAACCCACCGGCCCTTCCCGCAGGTTGAGGAGCGGTTCTCCCGGGTGCCAGAGCCGGTCCAGAAGCGCATTGTGTTCTGGTCGTTCCCACGCAGCGAGCGGGAGATATGTATGTACTCGTCGCTGGGCTACCAGCCCCCAGAGGGCGAGCATGATGCCCGGGTGCCCTTCACCCGCGGGCTGCACCTGCTGCAGAGCGGGGCCGTAGACCGAGTGCTGCAAGTGGGTGAGTGCTGGCCCCCACCCCTGCCGGGGAGGCCAGGAGGTCCAGAGCAGGCGCGGAGGAGGAGGAGGAGGAGGGAGTGGAGGGAGGCCTGGGCCAGGGCGAGGGGAGGTTCCAGATGTCTGGCTTCCATGCCCAAGAAGGATTATGCAAGAAATTGTGAGCTAAGGATCAGAGATCTGTCTGGACCTCAGGCAGCGGGCTTAGATGCGGCTGGGAGGAAGGATGGTGAACTAGAAGGGGCAGGGGAAGGAAGGTCCCAGAACTTAGGCAGCAAGGACCAGCTGAGGGCTGAGGGCTGAGGCTATTTCTAGATCCTAGGTGGAGGGCCACTATGGGGATTGGGGTAGAGGTTGAGACAGAGTGATGAAAAGCCCTAGACCTCAGGCTTTGAGTCCACTTGGGGGTGGGTACGGGATTCTGAGCTAAAGGCAAAGGTGGCCCTGGAGTCCTCAGCCAAGACGCTCCTGAGGCAGGCGTCAAGGAGCAATTGTAAACAAGAAGGAGGGTAAGTTTCAGACCTCAGGCAGAGGGACCTGGTGATGCTTTAGGGCCAAGGTTTAGAGCCAAAGGTGAGAATGATCCTAGACCTCAGGACACAGGGGCTAGGTGAGGGTTGGAGGCAAAGATCTAGAGCCAGAGGTGAGAAGAAGTCTTGGACCTCAGGCAGAGGGACTCGGGGGAGCTCTCATCAGAGGTCTGGCGGTCTCAGACCTAAGGCATCGAGGCTAAGGTGGGGGCCTAGAGTAGAAGCTTGAGATCAGCCGTGAGGGGTGGTCTTAGGCCTCAGGCAGTGGGGTCCAGGTGAGGGTAGGGGGCAGAGGTTTAGAAGTAGAGGTGAAAGACGATTCTAGACCTCAGGCAGCGGGGCTCAGGAGCGGACAAGTAGAGGTCGAGCCAGAAAGCGGGTAAGCCCTGGAAAGCTACACCTCTCATGTGGGAGCGCCGCTTCTCCTAACTGGAGGCAGGGGTTTGGCCAAGACGGTCCTCCCTGAACCCTGGCAGCCTGGAGGCCCCCTTGCCTGGACATGGCCCAGCCCACCCCAGGCTCGGCCATCTTCAGCAGGTATGAGGAAGCCACTGTTTCTGTGCCACTGTCTCTCTGCGTGACGCAGCCAGGGCCGGCTGGGGCCTGAGCTGCCCAACCAGTTGGATAAGCCTGGCATCTGGGCTCCCCAGGGGCCAGGGAGGGGCAGGGGGTGATGGGATGACCTGGCCCCTCGCCTGTCACATCGGCCCCTCACCCCCAAGTGTCATAGACCTCTGTCATCTTCCCAGGAAGTTACAGGGCCCCCGGAGCCCAGGCTGTATCCACGGTAACCCAAGGGCCGAGAAAACCACCTTCAACGTCATCATTATAATATTCTTCAGAATTAGAACAGGAGCCAGTATTTATTTAGGACTTACTATATACCTACAGTGAGTGTTCTAAACATTTACCAAGCATTAGCTCGTTTCATCCTCATCACAAAGGCATGAGGAAGATGTCACTATTCACTCCCATTTGACAGATGAGGAAGCGAGGCACAGAGAGGTTAAGTGGCTTGCTCTAGGTTACTCCGCGGGGATTTGCATCCGGGTCTTGCCTTGCACCATGGACAGCACCCCTGTCTCCCGGGTGACACAGCGGGCGGCTGGTTTGGCTTTGGTCTTAGGGTTCCATCTGAGCGGAAACATCCGGGAGCCCGGGGGCCCCGGAGAGCCCGAGCGCCTCTACCACGTCTCCATCAGCTTTGACCGCTGCAAGATCACATCTGTGAGCTGCGGCTGCGACAACCGGGACCTCTTCTACTGCGCCCACGTGGTGGCCCTGTCGCTCTACCGAATTCGGCACGCCCGCCAGGTGGAGCTGCGGCTGCCCATCTCTGAGACGCTGTCCCAGATGAACCGAGACCAGCTGCAGAAGTTCGTGCAGTACCTCATCAGCGCCCACCACACCGAGGTGCTGCCCACTGCCCAGCGCCTGGCTGATGAGATCCTCCTGCTGGGCTCCGAGATCAACCTGGTGCACGGTGAGGGCACCCGGGGGCCTGATGGGGCGGCGCGGCCTCAGTTGCAGCCACCTCGGTGGCCTCGAGGCAGGCATTTGCCATGGAATCCTTAGGTCCCCCGGATCCTTGAGTCGGGGTGGGGAGAGCGCCATGGCCTGAAGTCAAGGTCACACACCCAGTTAAGTGCAGATCCTGGATCTGACCTGGCCCCGGGCAGATGAGTGAATGGTTGGAAATCAGCCAACCGGGAGATTCAGCCCCCGGGTGGGGGTGCGCCAAGATCACAGGAGCAGGCCTGCGTGTGGGTAGGTGGAGGGCATGAAGGGTATGTGGACGTGGGTGGGTGTCGGGTGGGAGACAGACCAGGAGGCGTTGTGAGCTCCGGGAGGGTTTGGAGCTACAGGGGGCTGGGAGACGATGGCGTAGGATGGACGGTAGGGAGATGGATGGGCCATTGGGAATGGTGGGGTGTTGGGTGAGCGAATGATCATGTAGGATGGTGGGTGAATGGGGAGTGGGTGGTATTGACCGCATCGGTGAGGGGGGATGGGCTTTGATTAGGATCAAGGTAGACCGAGGGTGGTGGACAGATGGGAGTTGGTGTAAGATTGGAAACCCCGGCCTCACTTTTCCTCCGTCCCCGCAGGTGCCCCAGACCCCACAGCGGGCGCAGGCATCGAGGATGCCAACTGCTGGCACCTGGACGAGGAGCAGATCCAGGAGCAGGTGAAGCAGCTGCTATCCAACGGCGGCTACTACGGCGCCAGCCAGCAGCTGCGCTCCATGTTCTGCAAGGTGCTGCGCAGGCGCGCGGCGGGGCCGGGGCCTGGGAGGTGCCGGCGCCCCGCCCCCTCCTCACCACCCCGCCCCGCCCCCATCCCGGCACAGGTGCGGGAGATGCTGCGCATGCGGGACTCCAACGGGGCGCGCATGCTGATCCTCATGACTGAGCAGTTCCTGCAGGACCCGCGCCTGGCCCTGTGGCGGCAGCAGGGCGCTGGCATGACCGACAAGTGCCGGCAGCTGTGGGACGAGCTGGGTAAGGCCTATTCCGAGGCGGCGCACTGGACCCGGGGCTCCCGCTTCCGCGGCGGCCCTGGCAGCCAGGTCTTGCCCGCCCTGACATTAGGGTCTGGCCCCTGAATCCTTTCTCTGCTCATTTGCCCCTCTGATGTAAGAGGCACTGTACCGGGGGCTGGGGCTGCAGCAGAAAACAAAGGTTAAATACCTGCCCTCTTGGAGCTGACACTAAACACTGTAAAATCCTATCAAATACTACCAACCCCTCTGACCACACCTTTTCCATAAGAGCGACTGTCTGTGGCTTTGGCTTTGCGGGCCACTGGTCTCTGTCACAGCTTCAGTTTTGACCGTCGTCGTGGAAAAGTAGCCCCTGACATATCACCAGATGGGCGTGGCAACGTCCCAAGACAGTTTTGTTTACAGCGGCTATTTATGTGAATTTCACGTAATTTTCACAGGTCCCCAAATCTTCTGATTTATTTTTCCCTCACCATTTGAAAACATAGAAGTCAGTCGTAGCTCGCGGGCCGTTCAGACCAGGTGGCAGGTTCGATTTTATCCACGGGCGGTAGTTTGCTGACCCCTGTAAACAGATGGTGATAAGTGCTATAGGGGAAAAAAAAAAAAAAAAAAACCAGCAAGAGGAAGAGTCTGGGTTCCAGTTCTGACTTCCCAGCTGTGTGACCTTGAGCAACTGCTTTTACCTCTCTGGGCTGTAAGGTGAAAAGACTATCATTTGCAACCTTAGAGGCTGGAGATGAGGGGTCAGCAGAGACCAGTGCCCGGCTCGCACTAGGCACTCCACAGGTGTGTGCCCGTTCCTATTGGCATGAACGCTGAGCCTGCCCACACTGACCACCCGCCCTCCCTCCCCAGGGGCCCTGTGGGTGTGTGTCGTCCTGAGCCCCCACTGCAGACCAGAGGAGCGAGTGAGCTGGCTGCAGCTGCTTGGCAAATGGGACAAGCTGGACGTGTGCCCGCTGGAAGAGGGCAACTACTCTTTTGACGAGCCCAGCCTGCAGCCCACCATGACCCTCAGCCGAGGTAGGAGAGGGGTCCCTGCCATTCCGCCTGCAAAAAGCTGGCCTGGTGCCCAGTCTCTCCCCATCACGGTGCTCTGGGGGAGAGCAGAGGGTCCCCCAGCCCCTGCCAGCAGGAGGGAGGGAGGGAGTGCCCAGGCAGGGGCGGCAGGCAGCCTGAGTCACAGGAAGTGAAATGTTTAAGGCGCCTATAGTTCTGGGCTGCTCTCCTGGCCATGGAGGCAGGGGTGGGGGGACAGAGAGAAAAGGAAAAAGCTATTGAGAAGAGAGAGACAGGTAGAGTCAAGATGGAGGGACGGAGGAAGAGAGAGAGGAGAAAGTGAGGAATGGGGGTGGGGGTAGAGACGGAGAGAGAAAGAGGAATGGAGTCCAGGGAAGGGGCAGGACGGACAGAGAGACCAATGGACAGTTATTCCACCTCCATTGTCCATTGGCATGAAGGGCTATAACAGCTCCTCCAACAGAGCCATCACTGAGCCCAGAGTCTAGTCCCCAGCTGGCTCCCCGTCAGGGGAGCTGGCCTCAGCCCCGAGTGCTAGGCCCCCTTACCAGGCCATGTTGGGCGCCTCTCCCGCAGGCCCAGAGGAGGAGGAGGAAGAGGAGGTGGGGGCTAGAGGTTCCCGCCACACCGTCTTCGGCCGCGCCCTGCAGGCTGGGTCGCTGCACTGGAGCGACACTCACCTGCAGAGGATCCTGGCCAGCGACTCCTACGGCCCCAGCCTCACAGGCACCATGGGCGGTGAAAAGCCAACCTTTGACCCCCAGGGCCGCCCACTGTGGCTGGGTGAGCCCTTCCCCACCGCGTGCGCCCGTGTGGACACCCTGCGTGCCCATGGATACCCCCGTCAGGCCCTGCGGCTGGCAGGGGCCATAGTCAACTCACTCCGGCTGCAGCGACGGCATCAGCTTGAAAGCTACAAGCAGCAGAAAAAAGGTGGGTGCCACGACTGTCACACTACCCTGGGGCTCTAGACACAAATGCCGACTGCTGGGCACTGTGGCAACCCTGACATCTGTGGGTACCGCTCGGGGTCCCACCGGGAAAGCCAGATCAGCCGAAGGTGTCGGGAACCAAAAAGAATTTAATACAGGGGATTGAGGCCTCACAAAACTACTAGAAGGGCTGCAGCATTAAGAGTCAGGGATACCACTGCTTAGGTTCAAGAACCTGAACTTCCGAAGTACAGGGATTACAGCAAACTGCTGACATTGAGCTCAGCAGCCTGTGGCTGCACTGTGGGCTGCGTCCAGGAGGACACTCGGAACCTTCTGGCAAGCTCTTGTGTCTGTGCCCTGCACAGTCACACACCTGCTCATGGAGGCTGCAGAAGAGCCTCATCCTTTTCCAGCCTCTGCACCTCACGCAAAGGAGCCTGGGACTTGTAGTTTCTAAGCTTCCAGCTCCCGTGGAACAGGATGGGTGCACCAGCCACAAGTCTTTGAGGAACGTGGACCCAGTGTGCCCAGATTTTCAAGACAGGCCATAAATCTGGATTGTATGATGTGCAAATTTACTGATTTTTTTAAAAAAAAATTTTTTTTTTCAATGTTTATTTATTTTTGGGACAGGGAGAGACGGAGCAACGGGGAGTGGGTCAGAGAGGGAGACAGAGAATTAGGCTCCAGGCTCTGGTTATCAGCCCAGACGCCTGACGCGGGGGCTCGAATCACAGACCGCAAGATCGTGACCTGGCTGAAGTTGGACGCTTAACCGACTGCGCCACCCAGGCGCCCCACTGATTTTTTTTTTTTTTTTTACCGCAATTATTGGAGAGGACAGAGAGATAGTGCGAGCAGGGAGGGCAGAGAGGAGAGAAGGAGACACAGAATCCAAAGCAGCCTCCAGGTCGAAGAAAGTCAGCACAGAGCCCCACGCGGGGCCTGAACTCACAAACCGCAAGATTAATGAAATTCCGAGCCAAAGTCGATCGCTTAACGGGACTGAGCCACCAAAAATTCCCCTCTGATTTTTTTTTTTTTAAGTTTATTCATTTTAGATGGAGCATAGTGAGTGGAGCGGGGGCCGGGCCAATAAGAGAGAGAACTGGAAGCAGTTCCATCGCTGACCTTGGTGAGGACTCATATCACCAACAGTGAGATCATAGAGTCGAATTTTGGATTAACCAACTGAGCTACCCACGGGCTCCCCACTTACTGGAAATTTTAAAACATGGCACCTCTAAATTCAAATTGCAATAGGGGGACCAAAAAAAGCCACACAGTGTATGGGCCAAAAAATAAGAAACAAGCTTGTGGACTGGCTATGGGGGGAGGCAGAGGGCAAATTTAGCAGGAAATTGAACCCAGGGTGGTATAACGTGGGAACTCAGATCAAGACCCCGGCAGAAAGCTCTGGCCTGCCTTAGAGGCACAGAGAAACCCGCCTGCCACAGCAGAACCATCGAGAGCCAAAAAATAGGATGTATTGTGGTTTCCTCTAGGGACACGAACATGGGCAGGATCCAGAGGAAAAGGGGGAGGAGATCGGAGAATGTGGGCTTGGATGGGGGCAGGTCACGGTGGGGGTCGGACAGTTGGGTGAGATGGAAAATGGCTTTTGAAAGAAGAAGAGAGAATGGCAATCAAGTTGTGTTTCAGAACGAAGTTTTCATCCCAGATCTGTCAGGAAGTCTGGCTGGGACAGGGAGGCCAAGGCTGTGGAGGTGAGGGCTACAGAGCCTGTGGGGGCAGAGAAGATGGCTGCGGGTGGTGGGCAGGGTGGCGTGCTGGAGGCCGGGCTAGGGGTCAAGGGCAGAACCCCCAACACCAGGCTTGTGGAGGGCAGGCACCAGCCCCCATACCGCCTGCCTGGCAGAGTTCGCTGCTGCAAGAAAGGAACACATCACCAACACCACGGAAGGCTGGGCGGCCACCCCTGGGACCGGTTGCCCCTGCAGGGCGCTCCCGGGAGGCCTGTCGCCTGGAGGAGGAAACCGCTTCACTCCAGGTGTGCTCACACTGGGGCCCTGGGAGGAAGAGGGGCATCCCCACCCCTCCCCTCGGCCCAGCACCCCGAGAGAAAGGGGTCACCCTTATCCTTGGCTGGCCACACCTCAACTGGTGCCAGCAGCCCGTAGATTCCCTGCTTTCTGACTGAGGTCACCATAGACTCATGGTGTCTGTTGGTAGGAAGTGTCTGGTTAGAGCTGGGAGTCATTGGTGTCTCCCTTGAACCTAAGTCTTCCCCGCTGCCTGAGGTGAAGAGCTGTCCCAGGAAGTGGGTTCCTGAAACCTGAAACCCGGGTGGTCCCACAGACTGGGCCCCGAGGAAGCCGGAAGGTGGCTCACCAGCACGCGGGTTTCGTGCCCGGGGAGCCCTGGGAGTCCCACCATGCTGGCCCTCGAGGTGGCACTGCTGGGTTAGTAGCAGCGGGCCCCTGCCCGAGGGGCTTTTGTAATGCCTAAGATGGGTGGTGCGAGCGAGGAGCAGCTGTTGCAGTCTCAAGCTGGAGGAGGTGGAGCTGATCTAGGCTGGTTGGTGCAGGTGTTGGCAAAAGCAGAGACACAGGTCGGGTTGTGCTGCTGCTGGAAGGTGAGGCCTGCCCCTTCCTCCCCTGCCCGCCCCTGAGCTGGCGGGTCCTGCCCCCACCCGTCGGTTGCTGTCGGATCTCCCCTCGGCATCCGAGGCCCCTAGGTTCTGCCTCCCAGCTCGGCAGGCAGCGCCTGAAAGGTGAGATCCAGCCCTTGGCCCTGCTCCCGAGAAAGTTCTGGCAGCCAGTAGCCGCTGTGGCCTCTGAGACGCTGCCCCTCTCCCACCTTGGAGTCGAGGAGTCTGGTCCCTGATGCCCAGCTGGACTTCAGTGGCTCTGCCCGTGGCCCTGCCTTCTGAGGCCCCCACCCGCCCCTGGAGCGGGTGCGGCCCCGTCTCGTATCTGAGTCCTGCCTCCTACCAAGGGGGAGGCCGGGTCTCCTCTTCGGATTCTCCGGCGCTTTTCTGACTCGGCCCTGCACCCCCATCTCCGGGACCTCTTTAACCCCCAGCCCCTGCCCCCTCTGTCCTGGGGCCAGCCTACCCCCTAACTCAGAGCCTGGGGAGGGGCGGAGAGGAGCCCTCACCTGGGGGCTGAGCTCAGCATGCCCCTGCAGCGGGTCCCTTCAGTGGCTTCGGAGAGGTGCTCTTCCGGGAGAGCGTGCCCATGCACACCTGTGCCCGCTACTTGTTCACCGCGCTGCTGCCCCACGACCCTGACCTGGCCTACCGCCTCGCGCTGCGAGCCATGAGGTGAGAAGGGGCGGCTGGGGACTGGCCCAGGGGACCAGGCCGGACTGGAGGGTGAGAGGCGCCCTTGGAGCCCCGTCCTCCCGCCTGAACTCACAGCCTGCTTAATTCAGTCTCCCTCACGCTGGCAGCCCGGTTGCCCTGTGCTTTTGATTATTAAATATGCATGGGTGTTATGATCTTGAATTTGAGAGATACCCACACGGCACAGAATTCAGAGTCCTTTTCTAGACATTTTTGTCCCAACCTACCCAAATCTCTTCCGAGGCAAGCCGTGTCACCACTTTCTGCTTATCTAACCCACAAGAATCAAGATTTCGGCAAACCCATGGTCTGGAAATTGAAAGTTGGTCTTCCTTTTACACCCATGATGCATCCTGTATCTCTTTCTTGCACCTGCACTTTTTTTTTCTTTTAGAGAAAAAGTGCCTGCAGGGGAGGGCAGAGGGAGGGTGAGGGAGAGAGAGAGGGGGCGAGGGGAATCTCAGGCAGGCTCCACGCTCAGCCTGACGTGGGGCTTGATCTCATGACCTGAGCCAAAATCCAGAGTTGGACACAACTGACTGAGCTACCCGGGAGCCCCAGCGGAATTTTTAGAGGCCCTCTGTGTCCTAAGCCATGCCCAACAAATAAAGTGCATTCTGTCCCCAATCTCAGACGATCCCATTTAGGGTGCATCTTTCTAGAATATTTGGAAAGAACCATCTCTGAAGAGCTGTGGATATCTAAGCAGGACCCAGCAAATTAACAGCCCATGGGCCAGATTCGGCCTGCCACCTGTTACCGTACAACCCAGGAGACGAGAATGGGTTTTACATTTTTAAGTGTTTGAAAATAAAAGAATATTCTGTGACCCATGGAAAGTATACGAAACTCAAATTTCAGTGTCCAGCAGTAAAGTTTTATTGGCACGCAGCCACGCCCATTCATTTATGTATCGTCTGTGGCTAATTTATGTGGCAGTGGCAGAGTTGTTGGGACAGGGACCAAATGGCCTGCACAGCCAAAAATACCGGCTGTCCAGACTCGTGCAGAGAAACGATGCCGGTCCCTGGTCCAAATCCATGGCTCACATCACCTCGTGTAATCTTAACAACCTAGAGAAATAAGTATGTTGACCCCATTTTACACGTAAACACACTTAAAGTGTGTCCAGAGTCACATGTTGAGGAAACTTCAGTAATATTTGAAACCAGAATAGTCTTGACTCCTCTTCCGTGCTGTCGATCCCATCTGACAACTTAGAAGGACTTTCTAAATATAAACCACATCTATAGAGAGTGAGCCGGTTAACAATGTGCCGTAGTGGGCACGTAAGGTCCTCCCCCAAACATTTGTGTGCTCAGCATTGTTCCGGCTGCTGGATATGCAGCAGTGAGTAAAATAGTCACAAATGCCCGCCTTCATGGAGCTGAGGTTTTGGGGTGGGAGAGACCATCAAGAAATTAATAGGGGGGCCCGGGTGGCTCAGTCGACTTAAGCATCCGATTCCTGATTTCAGCTCAGGTCATGATCTCCCTGTTTGTGAGATCAGGCCCCGTGTCGGGCTCTGCCCTGACAGCATGAAGCCTGCTTGGAATTCTCTCTCTCTCAAAACAAATAAACTTTAAAATTAAAAAAAAAAAAAAAATTAATAGTAAACTATATTGTGTGTCAGATGTGACCTATAGCAAAGAAGGCCTGGGAGAAGTTGGGAGTGGGAAGTTCACACGGTGAGGGGGGGGGGTCCACGGAAGAGCCCACTGAAAAATATTTGAGCAAAGACTTGAGGGAGGTGAGGAAGAAGCCGTAAGGATGTCTGGGGAAGAGTGTTCCAGGCAGAGGGAGCAGCATGTGCAAAGGCCCTGAGGTCAGACTGTGCTTCATTGTATTTGAGGGACATTGAGGGGAACAGTACCTGGAACAGTGTAGGGGTGACAGAAAGGCTAACAGGGGCCGCATCAGGACACAAATAACCTCACATTTTTATTGGCCCTGGCATACGAATAGAGTATCGTTTATTTAATCAACTGTGAAGGGCATCAGCAGTACTTTGGTGAACATCTTGCGCTCCTCCCCCTCCCCGTCCCCTGCCCCAGGCTGCCTGTACTGGAGACCGCGTTTCCAGCCGGAGAACCTCACCCCAACCCGCTGGACTCCATCATGAGCAACCGCTTCCCCCGCTGGTTCATCCTTGGCCACCTGGAGACCCGCCAATGCGAGCTGGCCTCTGCCATGCTGACAGCTGCCAAGGGTGAGGACAGCGGCTGCCCCCTGTCCCCCTCTGCCTTCTCTTTCCTCCTTTCTGTCACGCCTCCCCTCTCCTTTTTACTCCTTCATCAGATTTCAGTTTTCCTTGAGCACTTCCTAGATGGCCCAGGCAGTGCCCCGGGCGCTAGGGACACACAACACAGTTCCGAATCCCGCGCCCTGTGATGTTACGTTCTAGTGGGGGCAGGCAGACCACGCGCAAGGTAAACAGTTACGTTACTCAGTAAGCAAGAGAGTAAGAGGTGCCTAAAGCAGGCTAATGCTTAAGCCAAGAGGCCTGAGCTATGGCCGATATCTGCTGTCCGAGTCACCTGGAGCCTCCATGACAGAACCACAGACCAGGGGGCTCAAACCACAGACGTTTATTTTCTCACGGCTCTGGGGGCTGGAAGTCCGAGATCAGGGTGCCAGCCTGGTCGGTTCCCAGTGAGGACTCTCTTCCTGGCTTGCAGACGGCCACCTTCCTGTTGTGTCTTCCCTTGGCAGAGAAAGAGCTCCAATTTCTTCCTCTTAGGAGGACACTGATGCCGTCACGGTGCCCTACCCTCAGGACCCAGTGCCTCCGGAAGTCCCCACCCCCAGATACCATCATCCTGGGGATCCGGGCTTCACCATGAATCTGGGGAGGGTGAAGTCCAGACCTAGAGAGCATTCCAGGCAGAGGGAACAGCCAGTTCAAAGGCTCTGAGGCTAGATTGTGCCTGGTATGTTTGAGGAACAGAGGAGGCCCGTGTGGCCGAAAGTGGAACGACAGAATTGTAGGATCGGGGCCGGCGATAATAACAGCAATAAAAGCTCACATTTCTATAGCTCTTGCCCTGTTAAAGCTTTTCAAGTGTGGGCTCCCCATCCCGTGAGGCAGGTACCATAGTGTTAGTTTAACCCATTTTACAGATGGGGCAGCCAAGGCACAGAAAGGTGGAGTGCCTTGCTCAGCATCACACAGCTAGTGAATGGCAAGGCAGGGATTGGGACCCTGGTGCTCTAGGTCCAGAATCAATGCCCTTGACAATGAGGGGTCCTTTTGTGGCTTTGTCCCGCTGGGTGAAGGAGTACCAAGAGTGGTCTGGATCTTTACGGAACCACTGCCGGGTGCTTCTCCCTCCTCACACGGGTGCACCTAGTGGGGAGGAAGCTGTGTGAACAGGTCAGGCGGCAGCAGGGTCTGGTGCCAGGTGTGCTGACCCTGCCCTCCTCCTTCCCTCAACCCCAGGAGACCCCAAGTGGCTGCATGCGGTGCTGGGCTCCATCCAGCAGAACATCCACTCGCCTGCCCTGCTCTTCAAGCTGGCCCAGGACGCCTGCAAGACGGCCACCCCTGCCAGCGCGCCTCCGGACACCACGCTGCTGGGCATTGCGCTGGAACTGGGCCTGCAGGTGGGCG